CCTATCTGAGGTTATTGATATTTCTCCTGGCAATCTTGATTCCAGCTTGTGCTTCCTCCAGCCCAGCGTTTCTCAGGATGTACTCTGCATATAAGTTAAATAAGCAGGGTGACAATATACAGCCTTGATGTACTCCTTTCCCTATTTGGAATCAGTGTGTTGTTCCATGTCTAGTTCTAACTGTTGCTTCCTGACCTGCATACAGGTTTCTCAAGAGGCAGGTCAGGTGGTCTGGTATGCCCATCTCTTTCAGAATTTTCCACAGTTTATTGTGATCCACACAGTCAAAGGCTTTGGCATAGTCAATAAAGAAGCAGAAATAGATGTTTTTCTGGAACTCTCTTGCTTTTTCAATGATCCAGTGGGTGTTGGCAATTTGATCTTTGGTTCCTCTGCCTTTTCTAAAAGCAGCTTGAACACCTGGATGTTCACGGTTCACGTATTGCTGAAGGCTGGCTTGGAGAATTTTGAGCATTACTTTACTAGCGTGTGAGATGAGTACAACTGTGTGGTAGTTTGAGCATTCTTTGGCATTGCCTTTCTTTGGGATTGGAAGGAAAACTGACTTTTTCCAGTCATGTGGCCACTGCTGAGTTTTCCAAATTTGCTGACATATTGAGTACAGTGCTTTCACAGCATCATCTTTTAGGATTTGAAATAGCTAAGCTGGAATTCCATCACGTCCACTAGCTTTGTTCGTAGTGATGCTTCCTAAGGCCCAGTTGACTTCACATTCCAGGATGTCTGGCTCTAGGTGAGTGATCACACCATTGTGATTATCTGGGTCATGAAGATCTTTTTTTGTACAGTTTTTCTGTGTATTCTTGCCACCTCTTCTTAATATCTTCTGCTTCTGTCAGGTCCATACCATTTCTGTCCTTTATTGAGCCCATCTTTGCATGAAATGTTCCCTTGGTATCTCTAATTTTCTTGAAGAGATCTCTAGTCTTTCCCATTCTATTGTTTTCCTCTATTTCTTTGCATTGATCGCAGGGGAAGTCTTTCTTATCTCTCCTTGCTATTCTTTGGAACTCTGCATTCAAATGGGTATATCTTTCCTTTTCTCCTTTGTTTTTCGCTTCTCTTCTTTTCACAGCTATTTGTAAGGCCTCCTCAGACAGCCATTTTGCTTTTTTTGCATTTCTTTTTCTTGGAGATGGTCTTGATCCCTGTCTCCTGTACAATGTCACAAACCTCAATTCATGTCCATAGTTCATCAGACACATTATCAGATCTAGTCCCTTAAATCTATTTCTCACTTCCACTGTATAATCATAAGGGTTTTGATTTAGGTCATACCTGAATGGCTTAGTGGTTTTCCCCACTTTCTTCAATTTAAGTCTGAATCTGGCAATAAGGAGTTCATGATCTGAGCCACAGTCCACTCCCAGTCTTGTTTTTGCTGACTATATAGAGCTTCTCCATCTTTGGCTGCAAAGAATATAATCAATCTGATTTTGGTATTGGCCATCTAGTGATATCCATGTGTAGAGTCTTCTCTTGGTTGTTTAAATATGTTCAAGGTAAAAGGAAACCATATCTAAAGAACTAAAGAAAAGTGTCAACAGAATGTCTCACCAAATAAACGATATCAATAAAGAGAAAGAAATGATTAAAAAAAACTAAGCGAAGGGGGAAAAAAAACAGTATTAAGAAAGCAAAAAGGCAACCCAGAAGAGAAAATAATAGCAAATCATGTATCTGACAAGGATCTTCTATCCAAAATCTAGAAAATACAACTTGACAATAGGAAGACAAATAATCCAATTTAAAAATGGGCAGAGAACTTGACTAGACATTTCTTAAAAAATAAACAAATGTAAACTTGTTTTAGATATGACATCAAAAGCAAAAGCAATCAAAGAAGTATGCTCAGTCGTGTGCAACTCTGGGACCCCATGGACTGTAGCCCACCAGGCTTCTATGTCCATGGGATTTCCCAGGCAAGCATACTGGAGTGGGTTGCCATTTCCTTCTCCAGGAGACCTTTCCGACAACCCTGGGACTGAGCCCAGGTCTCTTTGCATCTCCTGCATTGGCAGGCAAATTCTTTACCACTAGTGCCATCTGGGAAGCCCAGACAAATTGGACTCCAAAGGATCTGGAGACAAAAATGCCTCTTCTGAATTTTTCATTTAAGTGGAATTTATACTTATATGTTTTTTGCATTTGATTTTTTTCAACATGTTTTCAAGTTTCACTCATTCTGTAGGATGCATCAGCAATCCATTCCTTTTTGAGGCTGAATAAATCCCATTATGTGGGTATACTTCATTTTGTTTATCCATTCATCAGCTAATATGCATGTTTCCACTTTTCAGCTATTTTGAATAATGCTTATATGACATTCCTGGGCAGGTTTTTATGCGAACATATGCTATCAATTCTCTTGGATAGATACCTAGGAGTAAAATTGCTGGGTCATATGCTAATTCTATGTTTAACTTTTTGAGGAACTGCCAAGCTGTTTTCCATAGCAGCTGCGCCATTTTACATTACCACCAGCAGTGTATAAAGGTTCCAGTTTCTCAATTTCCTTGCCAATATTCCTTCTTGTCTATTTTTTAAATTACAGCCAGCCTAGTGAGTGTGAAATGGTATCTCACCATGATTTTTGATATACATTACCATAATGACTCAAGATATTGAGCATCATTTCATGTGCTATTAGCCATTTGTATATCTTCTTTGGAGAAATGTCTACTAAGATTTTAAATAAATATACTTGCTATTATTCTTGGCCCATTTTTAAATTGGGTTGTCTTTCTATGTTGAATTGTATTTTATATAATCTGGAAACTAGTTGCTTATCATATGTGATTTTCAAATATTTTCTCCCATCTGTGAACTGTCTTTCTACTTTCTTGATTGTGTCCTTCAATGCACAAAAGTTTTTAATTTTGATGGAGTCCAATTTGTCTATTCTGATTACTTTTGCTTTTGATGTCATATCTAAAGAATGATTGCCTGAAAAAGAAAAAGAATGATTGCATAATACTTGGCCACACAGATTACCACCTATGTTTTCTTCTGAGTTTTATAGTTCTGGAGCTTACATTTAGGTCATTAATCCATTTAGAGTTAATTTTTGTATATGATATGAATTATCAAATTTTGGATTCAAACAGTTTGATTCTCCTTTATTTTGTAGTGAAATGCTCCCACAATATATAGAACTCCATATTACAATGATAACAATTCTGCTCTATTAGCTCTATGTGCTTGAACTTTTTTGATTCATTTTATTAGTTTCAAGATCATTTACATTTTTACTCCATTTTGATTCTAGTAAGCCATTTTTGTTTGTTTTAGTGAACTATAGTTGAATCAAAATATTGTGTCAATTTCAGATGTACAGCAAAGTGATTCAGTTATATACATATTATTTTGCAGATTATTTTCCATTATAGGTATTACAAGATATTAACTATAGTTCCCTGTGCTATAAAGTAAAGCCTTGCTGTTTATCTATTTAACATATAGTAGTTTGCATCTGTTAATCCTACTCCCAGTTTAGCCCTCCCACTTCCCCTTTGGTAACTGTAAGGCTGTTTCCTATGTCTGTGAATCTGCTTCTGTTTTGTATATAGATTCATTACTTTTATTTTTTAGATTCCACATTTAAATGATATATTTATCTTTCTCTGTCTGATTTAACTTAGTATGATATTCACTAGGTCCATCCATGCTGCTGCAAATGGTAATGTTTCACCCTTTTTCATGGCTTAGTAATATTTGTATGTCTATCAATGACATCTCAATTGTCTGTTAAGCCCTTGGATTGTTTCCTTATGTGCCTGAATTTAAACACCTAAGTTCAAAATTCTTATTTTAATTTTACCTCCTCTTTGAAGTTTTCTGCTCTCAGACTGGTGTCTCCCATTATTCAAGAAATGTTTTTAGTCTACTACAGGCAAGACACTATAGGGATAGAGATAACTATATCTGACTCCCCATCAGCACTGTTTATTGAGCACTTAAAATATACCTGACACAGTGCTAAACACTATGTAGCTATTACCTAATTTGATCTTTACCAAAAAATCTGTAAGGTACTATATAGCATTATTTTACAGATGAGGAAACTGAGGCTCCAAAAGGTTAGATAATTTTCCTGGGGCCAGAGAGTAATGGGACCACCTTTCATTATGTAACTGTGAGCTACACAAGTTGTGTGGTTATCTATAGATAAGCCACTAGGTAAAAATCTAGCATAGTCTGATTCCAAAGACTGTGTGCTGTTAACTATTACATTATACTGCCTCGCCTTGGATCCATTTGGGCAAGGAAATTACAATCTGAGTCCTAGATGCCATTACAACAAAGCTGCAACAGGAGATGCACTATTACTGAGACAGACTATTAGAAATTAAGGTATCTGAAAAAGCTTAGGCTATATAGATGTTATGCCTAATATCACTTACTATGTCTAACTTTACAGAAAGTATAGTTCATGTTGGGAACAAAGTATGTCCATAAAAACCTGCTGAAATAAACAGTAACTAAACAATGTTAAAAGGCAACACTAAAAATCAAAAGAGTTGATCTTTTTTTCTTTCTTGATTTAAAAGACAAGGCTCTACACTCCTCAGCCACTTTCTCTCCTTTCTTTCCCTAAAGGCATCCACATTCTCTTGCCATTCCCCTGGCTTAATTTCCAATTCCTACTTCCTGACCTCCCATCATCTGGGCTGGCTTACTTTCGATGTCTTAATATATTTTCACTACTAAAAGACGCCAGAGTTGACTGCTGACTTTTCCATACCTCCTTAGCATCTCAGAGTTGGTCTGCTTTATGGTAACAATTATTGTGTGTTCAATATGGTTTTTGGTTCTGTGACTGAATTATAAGGTAGTAATTCCCCCAACCTTCTTTCCATTTTCACAATGTCAATATTGTACAGAAAAATAATTTTAACAACTTTCATAAAAACAGAACGTTTAAAAGGCACTTAAAATTCACGGTTTTCCTATAGTTAGGGTTATTTTTAAGCACTTACATTATTATTGTGAAGATATTCAATTGCTCGAAGAATCTGGAAGAGGTATTTTCTAAGTCGTTTACTCTCTAATCCGTGACAATAATGTTGTAACTCATCTAAAACTGTGTGGTCAATAAATTCAAACACCAAATGAATTTTCTTTTTCTGTCTAAAAACTTCAATCAGATTGACCAGGTTTTCATGACGAAATTGCTATCAACAAAAGAAATGGATTTTTAATAAGTATCTCATGCACCATAATTTGCACATATAAGACTCATATAATTTTAAAAAGAGGAATATTCTCAGTTTCTTTTCCTCCATGCATTTCAATAAAAATTTGTTGATTTGCTTACATTCCTATTTTTTAAATGTTTATCTATTTCATAGTTAATATTTAGAGAACAAAGGGAGATATATTGCTTTACTTCAAGTTGACATTTGCTTGCTTTCTAAAATAATTCAGAGTTAACATGCTGAAATGTAACTTTGCATTCTGCTAAGAGATATTGTCCTATCCTTTACATTGGTTGTGATTAAAAGGTCCTTATGGTTTCAAATGGGCATGAATTCCAGTGCCACTGAGCATGTAATCAGAATTTATAGAAATTAATTACTGAGTTTGGTCCTGAACTCTCAAGAGTAAAATGTTAAGTTCCAGGTGGAGGTTATAAATTCATCACACCATAACAAAAAGATTAAAAAATATCTAGAAACTTTTCATATATGTGAAATACCAATTTACATTCATAGGAAATTTATATAAATATACAATTACCTGTGGGTACATTTTTGCTCATTGTAAGATTCTATCAAGCAATGAAACACGTTTTTACATTGGTAAGCACTCACTGCAAGTAATTTCAAAATGTCAATAATGGAATATATCATCTTAGAAAACTAAAAGAGGTTTAACATTTTATGCTGCTTATTCTATTTTTTAACACACTGACTTAATTACAATCAATTCTCAAATATTTAACTTTTTCAAATTACCAAAATATTTATTCCTTTGGTTAAAAATTAAGGGGTATATTTTCAATGTTGAATTCATCAAAAAGTTAACTTGGATGAAAAAAAATTTGCCTTTATTCCAATGGCACAATATCAATTTTTCTAGTTATCTGTACTAATATATAAACTAAAGTCCTCAAAACATGACTAACAGAAAAACATGCCAAAATATAATGCCGGATTCCTTTCCTATTTTTGCTCCAATTTCCCTGGTTGGTGGGGTGCCAGAGTTCTATAGTAACAAGCTGGCAGTAGCAAAAAAAAAAAAGACTGCCTTTGGATACTACAATATCATCCTTCAACTGTGGGAAATTACTGTTTTCTTGTCCAGTTGTAATTTTAAAGGCAAAAGCAGAGAAGGGTGAGTGCAAGTTAATAAGCATTAAGGAACATCCATCCAGGGGTACTGGAGAAGGAAATGGTAACCCACTCCAGTGTTCCTGCCTAGAGAATCCCATGGACAGAGGAGCCTGGTTGGCTGCCTTCTATGGGGTTGCACAGAGCCGAACACGACTGAAGCGACTTAGCAGTAGCAGCAGCAGCAGCATCTAGGGATAAGGGATCAGTGACTTCCTCAGATAAACCGTGAAACCCCCAGAAATATTCCACTGTCCTTTTTCAGGTTGTTTATTTTTGTTTTCTTTTATAAACAGAAAACTTTTGTACAGATATTCCCACTAGTTACTCTAACTTATTTAATGAAATTCTAGCAGATAAAAATTTAGTTCTAATTAAGTCATTATGGCAGTTGTTTTTAGACTAAGAATGTTAACTAATCCGAGAAATGTCTCTTGTGGAATTAGATTTGATTAAACTAAAAATTCTACAAGAAATAAACCAATGGGAAGAAAAGTTAGGGTATCTCAAAATAGCTTGAATAATTACAATAGTAAATTGTCAAATTTATCTCTGTGTTCTTGCCACATATCAGTTATTTTTACAAAACAATCAAGAAGGAAAAAAAACTGCTTAAATGCAACAAAGGTGGAAAAAAAGAGCAGAAGATATTGCCTGGGAAAAGGTCTCCTAATCAGATTTCACTTATGGTGCACAAAGTTGCCTTCCAGTATTATTGTTTTAGGTCATCAGGATAAGGACAGGTGTCTCTCACAAAATCATAACATCTCTACTGATTTTAACTTCCCTTTTCATTGTCTAGAAATAGAGCAGTTACAACAATCCACAGATGCCTAATATATTTCTATTTAGAAAGCAAATTGATCCATCATATCTAATACAGACTTACAAAGCAAGAAAAGAATATTACTTTTGTATCAGATAAAAATGAACAAGAAAAGAAGCTGTTTTTTTCATCACATATAAAACATCTGGACTATGAACCTTAAAGCATCTAAATTCCAATAAACAAAATACATATGTATATATAGATATTTTTTAAATCACTAGTTTTGTACCCAATTCCTTAGGAATGTTAATGTTCTTTTCTTTACACTTCTTAAGTCTTTCCCTTGGGTGGATCTATCATACCTACATGAAATTCTATCTTGTCCCCTGATCACTCCTCATATTGTTCCCCATGTCTAAAAGCCTACTGGTCATCTTTACTGATTTCCTGTCACCTCGAATTCAACATTTCTAAAACTGAACTAGTTCCCAACCCATGTCTCTTTTGAGTCTCTGATATTTCCATCAATGGCAGCAATCACTGAACCTCAAAGATACCTTTGATTCCTCCTCTTTGTTGCCTTCTACACTTTCATGTCTTCTTTAGTAATATATTACTACTTTCAATTCAAAGTGCTGCATTCTAGCAAGGTCCCTCACATTTAAGGATTCTTGAATTAAGGTCAGAACACATTTCCCTATTTTTACTTTCTCAGTCCTCCAATCTATAGTCCTCTATTCTAAAAAAATAATGCTGGATTAATATTAACCATTTCTTTACCCTGAATTCAAAATCTCTTGGAAAAATCCAGTTTTGATTTCTTAGTCTAGAAGACTTTAAAACCTATCTCCAGGGGATTTCCCTGGTGGTCTAGTGGATAAGACTGTAGGCTCCCAATGCAGAGGAGCAAGGTTCAATCCTTAGTCAGGGAACTAGATCCCATATGCTGCAACTAAGACCCAATGCAGCCAAATAAATAATTCTTTAAAAAAAGAAAAAAAAAGTTTAAAAAAAACCCAAAAAACCTATCTCCAATTTATTTCTCTAATCTCACTTCTTTCCACTCCTGTATAAGAAACTACACACAAATGCTCTTTGCCCACTCTGCTCTGCTCTTGGTCCTTTGTCTTGCTTTAGGGTCTCGAGCTTATGCTGTTCCCCTAACCTGGGAAACAACAGTCTCTCCCTCTTTCCTAAATCCTACATACCCTTTAAAGCCCAATTCAAGTTCCACCTCCTCCAAGAAATCTTCCCTATCCAGTAGGACTTTGTGTTAATCACTTTGTGAGTCACTTAAAATTCACTGTTATTTTCCTATGCCTTCTTGTCTTTCTGATTAAATAATAAAAGTTCTGAAGAGCAGGTACTGTCTCTCACCTCATTATAGTCACAACATCTGGCACAAACACAGACATTTTTATTAAGTGTTATAAAACTAAATGATCAAATAATTATTTCACATTTGGCAGTTTTTGTTACATTATACACAAGCACATTTATCTAGTATCACTGTAAAATTACAAAATGTACACAATAAGGTAAGCCATCACACTTGTTTTTCTATTCCAAATACCTATGTTAACTGAAATATTCGTTATATAAGTTTTTATTTCATAACAATCTCTTTTTTGACTTACAGAGAGCAATTAAGGTAAAAGAAGCAAACCTTTAGAAACTTTATTTCCCTCATTGCAATTTTGTTGACAGACTTTTCTGGTTTCTCATAAAATATCTTAATGGCCACTATCTGCCCAGTATCTTTATGTTTACACTTCATGACTGTTCCATAACTTCCCTCTCCCACTTTTCCAAGGGTTTCATACATCTCCATTTTGAAGCCCGGTTTTTTCTTCATGGAAAGAAAGGGGGGGGGGGAGAGAAGATTAAACATTCATACCTTTATTTATTCAACGTGGATAATGCAATATCACAATAATACTTTAAATTACGGGAAAAGGAAAACTAGGATTCTTTTCCACGGGTCCCGTTTATCTCTGGGAACTCTGCCAGTTCGGCAGCAGGGTGTCTTTATGTGGCTTCGGCCACCACCAGAACTTGGGGGAACTTGCTACTGTCTCCATCATTCCCACCAAGATTTAAGATGCTCTCACTACATGTCACCTATTCATCATGGGTAGGGTCCCCACACGTCTCGTCAAGCCCCATCAAATATAAGTTTTCCGCAAAGCTGCAGTCACCAACAGATCAGGCCCCGGGACCCAAGAAAACCTTGGTCCCGCCCGCTCCTCAAACCAGGAGACTTAAGAGTCCCAGACCAGTGCCACTCCTCTTTCCCCACCGTCGACCTCGTCCGGGCAGCCGCCGCTGCCTCAGCCCATTCTGTGATCCTGCAGTCTGGCTCAGTGCAGTCACAGCGACTCCCATCCTACCTAGCCTGCTAGCTCCCGGCTGCCTACTACCATAGCAACGGGGCAGCAGGTCACTGGCTTGGGGTCTACTGCGCAAGACCGGAAAACCGGCCAGGCCCGACCCGGAAGGGAAAATGGGAACGCGCGGACAAGAGTTCCTGTGGGGGTTAACTGGAAGCTTCCCTGCGAGTGGAGGTCGGTAATACGAGCAGCTGTCGGTCAAACTGGGGCCACTACATAAGGTTGGTTCTGAGCCGCGACAGGGGAGGATCATACTTTGGCAAAAGCTCGAGAAAATGCAAATGCTCTAGGGAAAGGGAACCGGGGTGGAAGTTTATCCGACCTGCATCTTAGACGCACGCAGGCCCGAGAACACTTGCTTCTTGTGCTGGATCCTAAAAGGATGCTTGGTGTCACAGGTAGAGACTTCTTGTAAAACGAGACTTCCAAGGAAGTCTTGTAAAATTATAGTTTTCTAAGTTACCTAGTTATCTTAATGTTACATAATCTGTGTTTGACCTCAGCTGTCGACATTCATTCTTAAAACAGGGATAAGATGATTCATAAGAACATTTCTTGAACACCTCTTACATGCTTAAATTTTTTTTTCCTGAACTCATAGTAATTCTCTTTAAAAAAAAAATTCCCTTTCTACACGTCAAAACTCGTAAAAGGCCCTCTTTGGAAAAGCAAATAATTCAAAGGGCTCCACCACAAAATAGAGTGACATACAAGGCACCCCACCTCCCGGAATCCTAATTGTCTAAGAACTAGACATGGGGTTCGGATTGCGTGACAGCCTCCAATGAATAAAAAGAGGATCACTGGAAGTGCCCAGGCAGTGCTGTTTTCGTTACGGCTTTCATTTTCCCGCTAAAAAAAAAAAAGTTAAGCGTAAGAGGCCAAATCTCACTTTGCTTCTGAATAAGAGAAAGCGTTATTATTATCCAATAAATTCTAGTCCAGTTGGTCTTACCCCAACATGCACATTAAAATAACACCTAGAAAAAAATAAAAAATAAAATCACACCTAGAGAGCTTGTTAAAAGGCCCCACCCCCAGAGATCCTGATTTAAATGAGTTAGGGTAAAGAAATTGGTATTTTAAAACATTCTTAAGTGTTTCTATGCTGCAACAGCTTTTATTGAGAGACAGGGGGGAAAGAAAGGTAGTCATGGTTTTTGCTTATTACCATAAAAATATTCAAAATTGTCTTTCCTTTTGAAAAGTTATTCAACTATATTATATTTTCTATGAGTATCATAGTAAATCTTATACTGGACCCAGACTTGTAAAGCACATTTATTAAATATTTGTTGTTGACTTATAATGTTGGCAAGGATCAAAGCATGAATCAGAGTCCCTGCTCTCAGTGAGCTCACAATCTAGAGCAACTGAGTCTACCCTATAAAATTATAGCCTTAAAACTATCCTTTCTACAACTAGGTTATGACAGGGTTGGTAACCAGGACAACGTAGGAGTCTTGCTTATACAATAAAGCTCTCGGACTTTAATGAAACTTACTTGATTTGATCGAAAGCATTACTTCATTCTGAACCATGAACTGTAGATTTCCAAAACAATTATAATTGCTAAACAAATGACATGACAGATTGTTTTTTAAAGAAATTCTCTTTAGCATTTTACTGTAGGGTAACCCTAACAGTTAGTATGTCTCCATCCTTAGCTATAGGGAAGCTAAGAATTGCTATGCTGCTGCTGCTAAGTCACATCAGTCGTGTCCAACTCTGTGCGACCCCATAGATGGCAGCCCACCAGGCTCCCCTGTCCCTGGGATTCTCCAGGGAAGAATACTGGAGTAGGTTGCTATTTCCTTCTCCAATGCATGAAAGTGAAAAGTGAAAGTGAAGTCGTTCAGTCGTGTCTGACTCTTAGCGACCCCATGGACTGTAGCCTACCAGGCTCCTCCATCCATGGGATTCTCCAGGTAAGAGTACTGGAGTGGGGTGCCATTGCCTTCTCCAAAAGAACTGCTATGGCAGGAAGGGAAAAAAAATGAAAATAAGAAAATCACTTTTTGACTTACAGAATTACATTTGTCAAGGGGTATCTATCAAGTATTAGATCTGGCTAACTTGATCACCAAGGCAGTTAATAAAAGCAAGAGAAAGAATTCAGGGATTGAAGAAAGAGAGGTACCAGAAAAGTAGGGGAAATTAACCTTTTCTAGTTCAGTGAAAGTATGCCAAACGCCGTATTCCTCATTCTCTTCCTGTAACACCTTAGGTTGAGGAATCACCCAAATGGACATAAAGAGCTCAGGGTTCAGCCTGAGAAAGTCTTAAGAACAGAATTGGAGGCGACAGAGGAAGGGAACTCAGTGACTAGAAATAATGTCAGAATTCCAACGGCCAATATCTCTGAGCCCTGGTGGGGGACATTTCAGGCCATTAACTTACTAGTGTTGAAAATCTGAAATAAGTTACTCAGGTTAGATATACAACCCCTATCCACGACTGCATGATCTCTCCCCCACATGTGAGTCAAATTTTTAGGTTTGACAACCAGTCACCTACACTCCCTTTATACACATTCTCTATGATCAAACCCTCGCCTTTCTTGACAAATACAACGGTACGCCAACTGTAGACAAATCCAAGGACTCTGACACAAAGCCTCAAGTAAGAGCAGACTCATAAGGGAAAAACAAAATTCCGTAATCCTGTGTGGGGATTGTAAACAAACATTAAACAATCTGCACATCGTTGTTTCATCTCTGCCTAGTATTGTCAACCCTGGAAACACACTGCAATGCTCATACAGTAATATTTGGTGGCCCTCAGGAAGCATTTCAGAGGATTTCGCTTTGTATGGGCCTCAGCATTCAGCTGAGGAAAACGGAGGTCCCTTCACTTTTCCTCAGATGCCAGATTTGATAAGCCATTGAGCCAACCAGAGGGGAGTTTTAAATCCAAATTATTTGGGGCTCTATTTTAAAGATTTAAGAAGCAAGACAAACTACTGCTTCCGACACAAACTGGAGAAAAAAACGAATAAAAGTGCATACCAGCCCTCAGCCCGTAAATTTAACTACCGGGCTGAAAGACTTGGCTGAAAGTTACATCCAGGCGACGTTCTCACGTGATCTGTCCTAATGGCGTCATAGGGACACGTGGTTCTAGATACTTCGTCCCCTCCCCCTCGGAGGTGGATTGTTGACAACGCCGCCGGCAGTCACGTGATCTTACGTCATCCCACCTCCTTTCCCTGAAATCTCTGGCCCCGGATGCGTCCCTCTCTCCCCACCCGGCTGAGCCTAAACTAGTGAAAGAGGGGGAGACGGGTTGGTGTTTCAGTTTCGGTACTTCCTAATCACACCCTCCAGTCTGAGCATAGAGAACAGTAATTGGTCAGTTCTTTCAAGGAGACAAAAGGGATAAGGTCCCTGCTGAGGGGCTTCCATAACTAGCTCTCCTACGTCCCGTTCCCTTCTCCCCCACCCCTCACTGCATGGTACCGGCGGAGGGCGGAGGGATCTGGAGGCGGCGGAGGGAGACGTCATTGCAGGGTTGTTTGTGCAACCTCGGCGACGGCGGTGACCCACAGTGATTCGGCCGCCGCGCCGGGGGGTGGGGGGGCTGCTCGGGACTCTTTTCTTTCAGATTGACCGCGGGGCTGCTGGGGAGCATGTCGACCCCGGCCCGGAGGAGGCTTATGCGGGATTTCAAGCGGTAAGGGCCTTCATTTTCGCCTCAATGACGACTCCTCCCCAAATCTACGGGGCTAGGGTGGGGATCCGGGACACCTTCCCCTCTTGACCCTAAGAGGGCCCCTGTGGGCCCAGGGGGACAGACGGAAGCCCAGTTCTAGCTCCGTTTTAGTACTCTTTTTCCTTGGTTGTTCACTTGTCCTACGTAAGAAATGTTGATAGTTCCTCACCGCCACCCTACCCCCACAAAAAAGTAAAAAGATGGCTATGGTCTGTCCTACGATTCCCTGCTGCCCATTGCGGCCAGTTGCCTGATACCTCGCCCTAGCTTTCAAACCTCATCCTTCGCCTCTGCACCCTGCGGTGCCTCTCCTCTCTGCCCTAAGAGCGAGCCCTTGCAGAAGCCTTTCCACCGCTAGCTAGCTACACCAGTCAGCTTTGTTCGATGGCCTTGCCGTCTTCTCCGGCTGCCAGGGTTGGGGCCAACCCCCGCCTCCCTCCCCATTCTTTCTGCAGTGAGGGTGGGGTCTGATGCGCGAGGGCCGGAGGTTAACCCATCCTCCGAAACCCGACTCTTCTCCCCCCCCCCCCCCCCCCGGCCTGCCTGAAAGGACCTTGAGAACTGGCTTAGAGGGCTGGGAGTCGGGCTGGCAAACCCGGCTGCCAGTGCTTTCTGGAACTCAGCTCTGTGGCCTGGTGTATAAAGACCTATCTATAGCCTCCAAAGTCTGGAAAAATGCCTTCCTGGAGGCTGGCGCTAACCTGATACTCCCTGAGCCTCCTTTGTAAAGTGGGGTTTTGTTAGGAGGTGTTAGAATTGATGAGGAGGAAGTGAATCCCCCACCCCCCCAGTTGTTTTCCTTTGAATGCTTACAGGTACGGAGAAGAAAATGTCCAAGAAAACTTAGCGTTACGCTCCCGTGCGCATTTTTAAGTGTTTTTCTAGGGAGACCTGCCCTGCTTGAGAGAAAAAATCCAGTGTAAAAACTTGGATTGGCTTATCAGGAAGTAACCTCTCAGCTTCATTGTAAACCTTTAAATGAGGCACTTGGAAGCCATTGTTTGGGGCTTTGCCCAGTTTGGCCTTGAGTGTATTGGTAACTCAGCCTTTATCTTTGGTGGGCGATATCACGCAGCGTATCTTCCAAGGATTCTCTTCGTCCTGACTTGCACTGCTTGAGGTTGACTTAAAGCCATTTTGGGGGGACTAATTCCAAAAATCATATACCACATGACGGTGTGTTTGTGTGTGTATATGTATATTTAGTGTCCCGTTTACTTTTTTTTTCCCCTGAGATGACAGTTTTAAAAGGAGATACTCCTTTTGGTGCAAAACTCGGTTTCTACAGCTTGAAACCATAGATTTCAGATTAGCTCCCATGAGTGAAATTCCAATAATTTCGAGGTTCCTGGCCTTTGGTACCCTGATTTCTCATTGCAGTTCTCTGCTTGATTCTGAGTTGAGTGCTTGGCATCTTCGGTAGTTTTCCAAGGGTCTTCGTTTGCAAGAATTTGTGACAGGTGTTGGAAGGTAGCTTTGTATATGATCTGAGAAGTAAAATGCAGTATTGGTGCAGAGCTTTTAAAATAGGGACTGAGGGAAAACCTAGCCAGAGCTCTGCTTACTCTAAAAGCTACTAACTAAAGCGAATGGAATAAAGTAGCTCTACTGTGCAAAACTAGTTTGCTGATTAAACTGGATGCAAGTGTTTTTCAGTCATTTAATGCTTACACTGAGGTGGGGTCTTTATATTTTGTTTGGGAGAGAGTTTTTTTGGTGGCCGTGTTGCCCAAGTAGCTTTGGTTAGGACACACACAGCCTTTGCGTGTTTACAACAGCAAAATTGATGGTTGATAAATAGTGTTTTTTTGCACTTGAGGTTTTTCCTTTGTTGTTGTTAAAAGTAGTTCTTGAACAGATATCTTAACCTTGGTGATATTTGAAGAGGGATGACTCCCAAGCCATTTAAAGTGGTATGGTTTATTCCAGCGCAGTACAAGAACAAGAAAATGGATTTAGTTTGTTTCTCAAAGTAGATGGTTCAGAGATATTTGATTGGCCTTCTTAGTGGCCATAATGTTCAACTTTTAAAATTTCTATTCTGGATTTCTAGATTGCAAGAGGACCCACCTGTGGGTGTCAGTGGCGCACCATCTGAAAACAACATCATGCAGTGGAATGCAGTTATATTTGGGTGAGTTGAAAGAAATAACAAATGGTAGGTATGGTGATTCTTTTAAGAAATTTAATGTATAACAGCTAGGAAAGGGAACTGAGGGATCAGGGATCTTACAGAAACTGTAAGGTAAAAAAAAAAATCTGATACAGAGTTTTGGCAGTCACGTAAAATTTGATTTTATAATCACTGGGTTTTATTTGATAAAAATATCATTTGAGACTACAGGAGAATGATAAGTTAGTTTGTACAAAATGTGCCAAGCAAATGTTTAGTATGTATTCTACTAGAACTGTAAAAAGAGTAGGAACCAAAAATATTGATAACTTCCACCATAGTAAGAACTTAAATAAAAAGTGTTTCACAGCTTCATGAGAAATAGCTGAATGGAGCCTTTTAAAGTGCAGTGTTATATTTTACATACAGTATATATTGCACATAGGCTTATTTGTATAAAAGCATTATTTCTTCATGCTCTTTCTTTGGTTTTCCTGAACTGGATTTTATTTTCTTTCACTCTTTAAAAAAAATTTTTTTTCTTTATTATTTTTTGCTGTGTGTGGATTATCTCTAGTTAAAGTGCCCTGACTTCTCATTGCAGTGGCTTCTCTTGTTGCAGAGTGAGGCCTTCGAGCTTCAGTAGTTGCAGCACACGGGCTCGGTAGTTGTGACATGAGGGCCCTAGAGTGCACGGGTTCAGTAGCTGTGGTCCGTGGGCTTAGTTGCTCCTCTGCTTATGGGATCTTCACAGACCAGGGATCGAACCTGTGTCTCCTGCATTGGCAGGTGGATTCTTGACCTCTGGACCTCCAGGGAAGTCCCTTTTGTTGCTCTTTTTATACTAGCGTTTTGCACTAAAACTTTAAAGGAATACTTCTGTAAACAGAATTCTGAATTGCCATTGACTCCATTTTAAGAGTCTACATTGAAAATTAGTGGGGAAAATGAGCGTGGTTCACCCTTCTAAAGTAAAGTGATATTAAATTCAGGCTGTTAGCATGCTGCTTTGAGATCTTGAATGTACCTTGCAAATAATAATTAAACATTACCAATCCAGCTTTGTAAAGCAATTAAAAAAAAGAAGAGCCAACAACAACAAAAGTAACCTTCATGTTGCTGCTCAGGAAAGATGAGATAGGGATATGGTACAATGAAAAGATGTGGGCAAAAGAAACTGGCATTCTCAAAAAAAAAAAAAAAAAGAAAAGAAACTGGCATTCTTGGTGACATCAGATAAATTTATAGTCTAGTTGAACAAGAGCTATTTATCTTTTGAAAAGCAGGACACTTTGGTATCATAATTGCCTTAAACTAAAGGGTATTGACTTCCATCTTACTGATATATATTGAAAATAGGAATTTTTCTGTTAAGAATACATATATTTACAAAAGGATTAATATTTATAAACTGAATTCTTTTTGTGCAGAAATTATGGCAAGTTTCTTTTGTTTTTTTGTAAAACCATTCTAAAAGGAAAACTTGGAAAATGAAGTTACTATTTATGTCTTGCATTTGTTGTTTTTAGTTGCTCAGTTGTGCCTGACTCTGTGACCCCATGGTCTGTACCCCTCCAGGCTCCACTATTGTGGAATTCTCCAGGCAAGAATGCTGGAGTGGTTAGCCATTCCCTTCTCCAGGGACTCTTCCCAACCCAGGGATCCAGTCTGGGTCTCCCGCATTGCAGGCAGGTTCTTTACTGTCTGAGCCACCAAGGAAGCCCCTTTTATGTGTATATAAATAAAAATATCACCAGGGCTAAGGTGATATTAAATTAACAAATACTCCACAAATTATCAGAATGAGCTCCTCTTTCTCTTGTTTGAGTTTATCCTTTCCACTCTTTGAAAATCAGGAAAAAGCAGAAATAAAAACTTTTTTTAATCAGAAATCTTCTTGTTTTCAGACCAGAAGGGACACCCTTTGAAGATGGTAAGTCATTCTCAATATGTTTTCCATAGTATTAAGAGGCTTCTTTTAAGTAGAAAATTATAACACCAATCTATCTAGTTAAGGCTGTTTTCTATTAATAATAGATCAGATTAAAACTAAATAATGCTACTGAGAACTTATAGTTTACAAAGAACTTCCTTCCCATGTCAGCTTGATCACCTTCATTGTTAGTTCATTCTGTTAGTTTTATATTGGCTCTTGAACTCTGGCCTATGTGGTGGGGTCTGTGTTGAGAATAGTTTTAAATTTAAATGACCTCAAAGCGTGCTAAAGGTGTCCCTGAGGTAGACATCAGAAGAGTAATAATCATGCATTTTTAACTTTATGTATGTTGATCAGTGCTCTTAATTGTGTGTAACTACCAGTAGTTTCCCTTAACAGCTAGCTTTTGACACCTGTAAATAGTTAGCATTCTACAGAATCTTTTGCATCTTAAATTCAGTATTTGACCAAGAGCCAGAAAAAGGGAAAACTTGTTCTAATGTGTATTTATAGTTGAACTTATTAAATTGATTTTAACCAGATAAAGTTTCCCTAATATAGCGTGAATTTTTAAAATGTGTTAAATAGATTTGTCTTAGCACAGTGGCTCCAGAATTAACCCATCAAGGTTATTTATACAAATAATGATTGCAGAAGTATTTTGAAGGAGAAAACCTGAATGTTCGGTAGAAGAAATGGTTAAGCAAAGTATTAAATATCTAGACTGTAGAATATTATGTACCTATTAAAGAATAAGGTAGATCTGGTTGTATGTCAGAGGAGACAAAAGTTGCAGAATATATGTTATAATACCACAGTTTTACTGACTAGCATACATGCAAGTGTGTGCATGTGTGTGTGTTTAAAGGCCTGTATACCATACTGCTATCAGTGGTTACCTCTAGGTGGGGGGGTGGGTGGGTGGGTAAGGAGTTGAAGAGAGGTGCTCAAGGGGTTCAGCTTTTTACTCTATACCAAGGATTCTCAAGGGTGGTCCACAAACTCAGGAAAAAAGTTTCCTGAGACCTTTTCAGGGATTCCCTGTGATCAAAACTGTCTTCATGGCAATAGTAAGGCTGTTTTTAACCTTTTTTATTGTATTAACAGCACTGATGGTACAAAAGCATTAGTGACTAAAACTGGCCCTAAGCAATTTAGTGCCTTGGCACATACCAAGACAGTGGCACCAAACTGTGCTGGGAGTCGTATTTTTTGCTTTTTTTTAATAAAAGATGTCAGTTTCACTTTAAAATGTTTTGATGAAAAAGTGGGAATGACTAATACTGCTAAATTATGATCATTGAGTATGCTGCTTTCTGATATTCTGCTTGATGAAGTTGGAAGTATGCATACAGCACTTCTCTTGCATACCAGTTTGGTGGTTTGAGGGAAAGCAGATTCTGCAATTGTTTGAGTTGCAGTTTGAATTGCTGCTTTTTTCATGGAACATTTTTACTTGAAAGAATGACTGACAAACTCTGGTTATTTAGATTTGAGTATGTATTTGGTTGCCATATTCTTAGTGAAAGTGTCAGTTGCTCAGTCATGTCTGACTTTTGGTGACTCCATGAACTGTGGCTCGCCAGTCTCCTTTGTCCATGGAATTCTCTAGGCAAGAATACTGGAGTGGATAGCCATTCCCTTTTCCAGGGGGTCTTCCCGAGCCAGGGATCAAACCTAGGTATCCCACATTGCAGACAGATTCTTTACCATCTGAGCCACCAGGGAAGATTTTAAATTAAGTTGAGGAAAGTGATTGACAGGATTTGTTGCTGCTGATAAATTATGGTTTCCCAACTCTTTTTTTTCTCTGATGAGATTAGCAGATGGTATCACTGGTTGTGACTTTGCTTTTGATGGTATATCTCTCTCTTTAGTTGCTAAGTCATGTCTGACTCTTGGACCCCATGTACTGTAGCCTGCCAGTCTCCTCTGTCCTTGGTATTCTCCAGGCAAGAATACTGGAGTGGGTTGCCATTTCCTTCTCCAGGTCATCTTCCCGACCTGGGAATTGAACCCAGGTCTGCATTGCAGGCAGATTCTTGACTGACTGAGCTATGAGGGAAGCCCTGGTGTATACAGTTATATACAAAATAAAATATGACAACACTTAGATGATTTGGATAACTCAGTGAACTGGTATTTTCCAAATGGCCAGTGTGTTAGAAAATTATGGATGGATAAAAGATACATGCAATGTGCAATAGTCATTAATGTAAATGATGCAAAAAGTTTATATGGCTTCAAATTTTGTTGCAGCTAACCTTTAAAAACTTTACCATTTCTTTTATGTAATATCAAAAAAGAATATCTACCTTTATCTGAAAAGGCTGTGAAAATACTCCTTCCTTTTTCCTTTACATATTTGGAAGAGGCCTGATTTTCTTCATGTATCTCAACCAGAACAGCATGTTGCACAGATTGAATGCAGAGGCACCTGAGAGAAAACAGCACCTGAGCTGTTTTCTATTAAGCTAATCATTTAAGAGATTTGCAGATAAATAGTGCTACACTTCTCACTAACTTGGTGGGGGAAATATAGTTATTTTCATTAAATGTTACTTAGGTTAATGTGTAATGAGTTTACAGTTAAGTATTTTAAGATTTCCTTGAGTAATCATTTCTAATACAACAAGTATCAACAGTTGTAGCACATGGTGTGCTGGAGACAGTTTATACCAATTGTGAGAATGGATTGTTTAAAAATTAGGGGAATTTTTTTTTTAATTAGGGGAATTTTTACCAACCAAAAAGTTGAAATATTTTTAAATGCCATATATGGAAATGCCATAAAATGGTGTGCTGTTGCATGCATCTCTTCCCATCTTCACGTTCAGTGACCCCACATTTGAAGCTTGGTATGATTGGGAGTAAGAGTATAATGAGGTCCAGAGACCCCATAAATATGAAGAAAGCAAGCTTAAAGCTATTTCATATTTGTGTTTACCTGAAATGTTTACAGTGTACATTTTGTAATGAAGGAAAATTAAAAGTAAATGTAAAAATATATAACATTAGGTATTAAAAATATATTAGGTTACAAGGCTCTTTGCTAATGAACTATACATTTCATAGAACTTCTTAATATATCAGAATGTGAATTAAATATCACCTTTGATTTTGTTTGTATCTTTGGCCTCCCTAATCCCAAATTTCCAAACAACAAAAAATTTAAAGAGGTAGAGGTTATATATTGGATATATGAATAGTGAAAATAGAATGTTAAATATTTTACTAAACACATGCCTCTGATCTTGGTAGACTGAAGTCATGAGTTTAGAATTTAGGTTGAGATTTTTTTTTTTTTTGAATTGATAAAATAAGGAGAGAAGCTTGTGGAGACATCTTGAATGGTTTAAACTTTTATTGACTTCATTAGGAATAGGCTTCAACTTACTGAGTAAGCCCACGGTGGGCTTACTATTGGAGCACCTATCCAGCCTTCAGGTATATTTCCTCAAAGTAAAACATCTCTGGATAGTGAATAAACACATAAAACTATATTTTAATGGTGGTTGTGTCTGCTAAATAGATTGGTAATTTGAGTTGAGAGCTCTTTGTACACTGAACAGATTGACTTTGTTACAAATGCATATATATATTTTTTTTAATGCCTGTCTCTTGGCCAGCAAATAATGATTTAGGCTGACCAAAAATGTACCATATTGGTTTATAACCAACAGTAGACAGTTACACTAATGCTTACTGATTCTTGACATACTTAAATGATGGGAACAGAAAGACTTTTTCACGTGAGTGGCCATACCTCCAGTCTGAGTCCTTTGTCATATGATGGTTAGCCCCTCTCAAAGTCATTTGGCACCTCCTTCTAAGTTATAGTGAATTATCCGTAGTTACTCAAATGTGCATTTAAAAGTTTGGTAGCTAGGGCAAAATTGCCTGCCAAAAATATGACAGTGTTCTCACCAGTAGTATATGGTAAGTGCTTGTACCCCCAAAAGCTTGCCGATGTTGTATATTATCAATACATAAATAGAAGTATATTTAGTATGTTTTATATACTAAACCAAAATTGACATTAATTTTTGTGTGGTTGTGCAAAAGCCAGCGTGGGGTTGGGAATTCATTGGTGACAAGATAGAAAAGTTATACTTGTCATTACTGTAATTATTTTGGTTTGTTTTCTATCTAGGTACTTTTAAACTAGTAATAGAATTTTCTGAAGAATATCCAAATAAACCACCAACTGTTAGGTTTTTATCCAAAATGTTTCATCCAAATGGTAAGTAGCATTTTATTAGCTTTTGTAAATGATAGGAGAAAGAAAGAGTTGTTTCATCCTTTTAGGTGTTGCCCATGCTTTTCATTATTAGGGCCCACCTCTCTATGTTGCTTCCATGTCAGTATTAACCATACTTTTTTAGTCTGGAATCTTACCAAGGTTCCTGATTTGAGGAAAGTTTTGTTTTAATAATTTCTGATTTTTAAAAGTAATATCTATTTGTCAGAATGTGAAAGATACTAAAAAGAATTTGTAGCTTAAAGTTTAGCTGTAAAACTACACACAAATTTTCAAAATTGAGATCATGTTATATGTAAAATTGAGTAAATATCCTTTTTCTTTTTTGGGGGGGGCTGAGCTGTGTGGCATGTCGGATCTTAGTTTCCTAACCAGGGATGGAACCTGTGCCCCCTGCATAGGGAGGGTGGAGTCTTAACCACTGGATCACCAGGGAGGTCCTTTGGTTATTTTTGTTATACCTCCATATTAATAGCATGGTTTCCCTTTTTTTCCACTGTGAGTGGAAAACTTCATTAAATTCCCAGTTTACTTTTTTTAAAAAAATCTTTATTATTAAAAGATTCATACACTGTGCTATTCACCCATTTAAGTTGTACAATTCAGTGGTTTTTAGTATCTCGACTGAGTTGTATGGTCATCACCATAATCAATTTTAGAACATTTTTATCACTCCCAAAAAAATCCCATTCCTGTTAGCAATCACTCCCCATTCCTGTCCCCTTGCCTCCCTGCTTCCCAGCCATAGGCAACCACTGGTTTATTTTCTATATGTAGGTTTGCTTATTCTGGACATTGCATATAAATGGAGTCATATAATACATGTGTCATATAATATATGTGGCCCTTGGTAATTGATTTCTTTCAGCTGACATAGTTTTCAGGTTCATCTCTTGTAACACATAACTGTACTTCATTTTATTGCTGAATTATAATCCATTGTACGAATAGACTACATTTTGTTTATCAGTTGATGGGATGTTCGGTTTCTAATTTACTTTTGGATTACTTCTCAAAAGTAGTTAACTAGTTCAAAACTTTAAAATGATTTTGCATTTTTATGGGTTTTACAGAGGTGATGATTTTTGCTCTGAACTTGCTAAGTTTGATGTTCCTCTGGGGTACACAGTAAGCAATTGACTATGCTGCTTTAAAGCTGAGAGTTAAATCTGGTCTAATGCTAACAATTGGAATTACCTAGCACATAGATACTAATTGAGGCCATGAATAAAGTTGCCCCCAGAGGTTGTGTGAAGGGTATAGATGGAAGAAGACCAAGGATAGAGCCCTGAAGAATGACAGTATTAAGTGTAATTTACCTCCTCTCCTCAAAAAGGCCTCACTTACTCCTGTTTTGATGTAGAGTGATCAGACTTGTTCTGTGAAGCCTTCCACAATTTGATAGTGTCGATAATATTTAAATGCACTTATTCTTTGTCAACACAGTGATTCCATTTTTGTAAATTTATTGTACATATACATAATCTAGCAAGTGGATAAACATTTATGTTCATTGTTTGTATTCTCACATAGTCAGTTCAAGAGGGGGAAAAAATCCACTCTCAAATGTTAGACTTTTAAAACAGTAATCACTTGATTCTTACTTTTATTATGAGAGGAATGCATACTTATTGGAAAAACAAAGTACAAGGGAAGGTAAATAAGATCCTTCATAATCCTGCTATTTACAGATATCTGCATTTTGGCATTAAGTCTTACAAATGTTTTTGTGACTGCCTGTACTTCAAATTAAAGTATTTGTAAATGATTCTTTACAAGAAATGGAATTATATAAGTAATTGGAAACTTATTAATGTAATATATTAGGGATGTCATTCTACATTAATTAATATATGGTAGATGTGTATCATTTCTGGCAGCAGTATTGATATGTGCCATTAATAATATACTGTTATTTAGCCAGTTCCCTCACTGTGGACCACAAATTGTTTGCAGTTTTTTCACTTCTGTAAAGAGTATTATAGAGAACATGCTGTAAATAAAACTTTGCATGTGCATCATTCTTACTTTTAAAGTAGAATTGCTATTTCAAGAAATAAGCTCCCCTCCAAGAGCTTTATTTAGGAATATTTAGAAGTGTGGAATTTAAACAGATTTGCTATATGTTATTGGAGAAGGAAATGGCAACCCACTCCAGTGTTCTTGCCTGGAGAATCCCAGGGACGGCGGAGCCTGGTGGGCTGCCGTGTGTGGGGGTCGCACAGAGTCGGACTCGACTGAAGCGACTTAGCAGCAGCAGCAGCAGCTATGTTATGTGTTGGAAAAATTTAACTCTCACTCAGCCTCCTCATCAAAAGGTATGTTGTAAAGAGTCCTTAGTTTGAGACTGATTTTCCTGTGAGACAGAAAGTTTTAGTTATAAACCAATGTTCAAGGCTTCTGACTGAGCCAAGCATTCTGTTTGTGGTTAAAAAAAAAATTACTGTTTAATTATTAGATATGATCAAGTTAACATGTAACCAATTGTAGTGTTGTCTTTGCAGTGTATGCTGATGGTAGCATATGTTTAGATATCCTTCAGAATAGATGGAGTCCAACATACGATGTATCTTCTATCTTAACATCAATTCAGGTAAGCATGTGTTAGAATGCATCTTAATTTTTCAAGATTCTGTGGAATATAATTGACTCTTTTAGGATCAATTTAAAGTCCAAGTAAACAAACTAACCTTCCCAACACTAAGGTTACCAGTGGCAGACCTCATACAAAATACTCAGGATTTTCATACAACTGATTTGCGTTTTGATTAGTGACCATGTTGGATCAAATCCATGATAATTTTCCTGATAAAATTAAAGTATAAATTGTTCTCACAGATCAAGTGATTTTGTTTTGTTTCTTCGGGTTTGGTTTTGTTTTGTTTTGTTTCTGCTGCATCTCGAAGCCTTGGGGTCTTAGTTCCCCAACCAAAGATAGAACTTGTGCCCCCTGTGGTGCAAGTGCAGAGTCATAACCACTGGACCACCAGGAAATTCCCTCACAGGTCAAATATTCATGCCTAGAAAGCATAGCCAGAGGTTATGGAAAAAGATGAAAAAATCTTGGGGAGAGAGAAAGATAATTGTTTAGTAAAAACATAGAGACATCAAGAAACTGCAGTGCAGAAAGGCATCATTTTGCCCCATCCAAGAAATGCTGTCTCAAAGGAAAGTAATGTAACTATCCACCAAAGCACTCTGGCAGAATATTTCAGAGTTGACCTTGAATGACAGTTTAGGGGGAAGGTTTGGGGTGGAGTCAAGTTTTAGTTACATGCATTTGAGAGGAGCAGATGTGATATTTTGGTTTGTGGCCTTCAAGTTTTTCTGTCACACTTCTGTTTTAATTTGAGTCATAAACGGTACTTTCAGCCTTCCTGTTATTAATATATTCCCTTGCTCCTAGGTGTGTATGTTTTGTTGATTAAAGGAAATAAGGTATACTACCCAACTTACTGTCAGGAATTTGCAAACCTATCACAATAATAGAGTTTAACTTTGGAAAATGTTAGTTGCTGAGCTATTTTATAGACATTGTATATTAACCAAGTCAAATTGTTTAGTTCCCGTTTAATAGCGCAGTATGCTGAAGAATATATGTTCTTTTCCAGTTTCTTTGAAATTAGAGGTCTTTTAAAAAAAAAAAGAAATTAGAGGTCTTAAGGCAATTGAGAGCTACCTGTTTTGAAAACTTAAGTTTTGTAGCAATAGGAAACTTCTTCCTGTATTTATCAAACTACTTCTGAAAGTGTTTAGATCTGAAAATACATGAGACATACTAATTGCTTTCATTAAGTAATTTGTTTTCTATAACTTTTGTGCCCCATATCTGACCCATGTTAATATAAAAAAATAACTACATATGTGTTTTTTCCTCTCTCTTTCCTTCTAGTCTCTGCTGGATGAACCGAATCCAAATAGTCCAGCCAATAGTCAGGCAGCACAGCTTTATCAGGAAAACAAACGAGAATATGAGAAAAGAGTTTCGGCCATTGTTGAACAAAGCTGGAATGATTCATAATAGACAACTGCTCTGTTAATCTTTTTCATCATTGTTGTGTATAATTTACCTCTCAGTAGAAAGGCTAACAAATTTTAAGTGCCACAGGTTTTAAGGATTCTGCAGAAAAAAAGTCCTTCAGTTTAGAACCTACAAAAGCTTGTGTATCTTGATTAATGTACTTTTTATTGCATGGTGTGAACTAAGTTATTGCTTACATAAATTTGTAATATATCCTGTTTGTATTTTTTTCCAAGTGTATAATGTTGGTGTGGAGTTTTCATGACAGAATATACACATTTTGTAAATCTGTACTTTTTTCAAATATTGAATGCCTTATTTTTGAATTCTTTAGATTTTTAAATTGGAGAAAAGCACTTAAAGTTTTTTATATATGAATATTACATGTAAAGCTGTTAAAATACATACTTCAGTGCAAGAGACTTTGTCACTTATTTCCTTATCTAAGTAGGAGGGGTTAATAAGTCTCTAGCTCTCTATCAATTGATAGTTTCATTTCCAATTTCAAAAGAACAGATTTATATTTTATCAAGAAATTCAGATTTGATTCTAAATACCAATTATAATCTCAAACTTTATTTTGAATGTACCTTTATTAGTTTTAGTTGAGCAATTATAACTGGTTTGATTGTGTCCAACTCTGTATTTAGGTCACTTATTACTGTTTTCTTCATGCACTACTTACTGCTAAAGTGTACTCTTTGATTTCACAATTCGCACCTCCACCATGGGGTATTGGCACCTCTACCTTGAGCAGAGAGCTTATGCAACTTACTTTGCTGCTTGATAACACTTTAAAAGATTTTTGATAATGAAGAAAGTAAAATGATCAACATTTAACAAAAATCCATGCCCTACAATTAACAATATAAGAATTTGTTGCATTGGTTTGAACAAGGCAGATATTTGGAAGGAATCTTAGTGTAATTTAAATATTTGAAAACTGCCTTTTAATACAGTTGCCTATCTGTTTATTCTGGAAAAATGTTTTAATACCAGGGCCTGTTGAGTTGCTTTCTCTTGTGGAGATTTTTTTTTTAATCTCCTAAGTTGTATAAAAGCTGTTCTGCATCTTAGTTTACTGGATAAACTTAAAACAGTATTTGTAGAAAGCTTATTCCAAGCTATCCTATGCCTTCAAATAGTATAGAAAATGGAAAATATACAAGTAAATTCTGTTGAACCACCTGTGTAGTCTTTATAGTAGTTAAAACAGCTTATTTCATTAACCCCAAAAGTTTCTTTCACATTCATACTAGCTTAATTAGCTAACAGCATCTTTTCTATTGGAAGATGGATTTTCTTTTCTACTGGAAGACTTAGAAGGGCAATTTCTATAGCTTCTATTAAGCAGAGCTTAGGAAGGAGAAGTGCTGATGTTTCCCTTTAAAAGTTAATACTTGGGAAATTTGGGGATAAGTGTATGATCTCAGGGAACTTTTGATACAATTGAGAGTTAACTCACTGGAATTATTGCCCCCCCCCCAAAAAAAGACATTCTGTTTAAAGGTAGTTTTTCGTTACATCAAATGTGTGATACTTTTATATTCAGCTCTAAAACAAATCAGTTAAAACAAATCAGTTTCTTTAGACATTTAATCCAGTGACTGACTGTTGGATTAAATGTGCAGTAGCTTTGATAGTCTCCCCTGTTAATATATTAAATGCTATTTGGATAATACTTCAAAATTTATTTTCATCCTTAACCTGTTTTCTTTCTGTGCTTCCAGTACAGGGGGTGCAGGTTCAGTTTCTGGCTAGGTCACTGAGGTCTCACATGCCATGAAGCACAGCCAAAAAGTAAAAATAAGAAATTTCAAGTACTGCTAGATAGTTATAAGGAAATTATATCTTACTTTACAAAGAGTTAATAAGCTCTAATTCCTAAATTCAACACATGTGCATAAACCTCATACCTAGTCACCATTCCTATTGGAGAAAATTCTTAGGAACGTTCCACCTTTCAATTACTCAGGTTTTTTCTTCAGCCTTGGAACAGATTCCTCATTTGGTTGAATACCAGATGTACTTCAGTTTACAAAGTCACGTTATACAAAGAAGGTTTACTTTTAACATTTACTACATAAAGTTTATAAGTGTATGGTATGGCAAGAGGCTAGAACTAATTTATTCATTTTAGTACAAAGTTGGATTTCATGTTAATGTTTAAGTACATTTGTGATGGGTAATTCCTCTGTAACAGTACTTCTAACACATAACTGCAAGGCACCATTCTAAGCACTTTAATATGATCACATTTCAAACTCAAGTAATCTTATGAGGTGGGTATTATTGTATTACAGATAAGAAAACTAGATACAGATCAAGTGACTTTCTCACGGCCAACCAACCAGTATGTGACAGAGCTGGGATCTGAACCCAGGCAGAGTCTGGTCTTTTAGCCAGTAATTGTACTGGCTAATAGCCAGTAACAGTATTCCTTAAGAAATATTAAGGGATTGAGTTTAGTTTTAAAAATTGTACTGAATTTAAATAGTCATCCCAGCTTGTAAAAATTCATAAGTTAGAGTTTTGTATAGACTTGTATCTGTCCAGTGAAGAGGTTTTCAGCATTTTCCACCTTTTTTTTAAATGTAAAACAAGTGTGAATATAGGAACACTATCTAGTCTCTGATAGAAAGCACTTGACTTACAGACCCAATTTTTTTCCCCTTTGTAGAAATAGCAAGTCTGTGCAGACACAGTCACACACACACCCCAAAATTTAAAAATTCCATGAGTATGAATAACTTTTGGAACTGATCTAAAAATTCTTTTTCATGTTGGTGGAAGGTAGTGAAGAAAGTTACTGAAGGTGGCTTATTTAGTTAATAGTCTGTTGTATGCCCAGTAAACAAGGTACCTGTCTTAATTTATTCATTTAGTACTCTTTTAAAAAGAGAAGCCTGGTGTTCAAAGCACAGTTACGTTATGAGATATTTTGATCTCTCAATTCTTCCAGGTTTTAAGAGAGAAAATTTTTAGGTTTCGGCAGTGTTTATTACAATTCCTTTCTGCTGCATTCAGCATTGCCGAGTCCCAAAGGAACCTGGTATGTGGGGATTATGTATGTAAATAGAAAAGTCAATAGGTGGAAAGCTGTTAAACTGTCCATAGGGCAGGGGCCTTGTGCAAAGATGGTAGCCCTGTCACTCCATTTACTGTCTAGTTAGGGAAAAACTAAGCTATTGTCTGATAAGGGGAAATTTTAGTTATCTTGTTGCTCTAGTATATGATATAGAGCACAAAGATATATTAGAAACAAAATTTTGTTTGAAAGAATTGAGTTTATCCTTTGAAAAAATACACAGATGTGTGTGCTGTTCTGAGTTTCCTGTTCATAGCCTGGACTGGGCTTTCTTTTAGTTGGGCCCAAAAGCTGAATAAGATGCACCCTTTGCAAATCTTTCTTAGCTCAGCAACATTAGCTGGTTGAAATCAAGAGCCCTGGAAAGAAAGGCTCCAAGCTTCCTCTCTGGCACATGGGGGACTCAGACTTGGGTTAGAAGCCTGCACAGACTGTCAGGAACTCTGCCATTGATGTAGGGCTAAAGCTTGGCCACAAGATACTTTTGTTTACCAGTGACTTCTGGAATCATGTGTTTGGGAAGACTAAATAGTGTGTCCTCTGCTGAGTAAAAGGAAATAACCTTTTAGCTAGAGAGGTCTTTAATATGGTGATGGTCTTGGTTTGGTTACAAGTATGATGCTTCTGTAGTGTTTTGGGAGGATATTATAACTGATCTAAAGTCTTACCTGGAAGACTGGGATCTTTAATGTACCACTGGGTTAGGAATTTCGTCTAGAGGAGACCAGAGCCTCTCTCTGAAAGGATCCACTCATCAGCCTGATCTACTTTAGTTGTCATTTCTTCCTAGAATGCAGGAGAGCATCTGTGGTGTGCTGAATGCTGCCAGAGTGCAAACATAGCGCACTTCAGGTAGACTTCTTAATGCTTCTTCCTATCTGAAGCCCCCCCTTGAGCTTTCCCCTTTACAAAGAAGGCCTTATGCCAAGAATCCTGCAGCCCACCAGCTGAATTGGACTAGCGGCACTCTAGAACAGAAGAATGCAGATGCAGAGAGTGCAGCTCTTTGGCTAGCCTCTGTGTAAAGTCATCCTACAAAACGTGAGTTGGGAGATTTTCTGTTTTTGTGTTGGTAATACAAAGACAACAGGAAGCTTCTTGTTCGGATAACCATTCTGGGCAGAGAAGAGGAAAGAATCCAGAGACTTCAGCCCGTATCTTAAGCTTTGGCTAAAGGCTTAGGATATGGCCTCCAAAGAAAACTCTAGTGACCTTGCTGTATTTAGTGACTGCACCTGCATGAGCACATAAGGCTGTGGTTTCAGGTGGAGATTCTGGAATATCAGCTGGAAAACTGCCTTTAGAAGACAGTCCCAGGGGTTGGGTACAGGAAATTTTTTGCAAGTCAGAAATACAGGTGAGGGCAGTCCTGGGGCCTGGTGGTGAGTGGATGATACCATCTGTTAGGAAGAAAGTTTCCTTTCCAGCTTTTGTTAGCCCTTACAGATTGGTTCTTTGACAGGGGCTGGGCATTACAAGGGAGCTTCAGGACAGACCACAATCACCATGGCACCCTCTCAAGGCTGTGTTTGAGGTATCAGGCTGAGCCATAATATAAGTACCATAGAGTGGAGCTAAACACTCGGAACTGCTTTCCAGATAACTGACAGTAGGTGCACAGGCCTGGGCAGGCCAACAGGACAGCAGTGAACCTCCAGGGTCCATGCTGTGAATCCTCTGGGAACACTTTTTAATTAGCGGCTTTGTTTTTTGTTAGAAAAGTAGAACATTATCATAAAAAATAATTCAGTAAGCACAAAGGTAGAAGGAAGCATGAGTCATTCTCACCACCTGAGAAGCTGAAAACAGCTGGCTTAAGGGGAAGTGAGGACTGTAGGTGTTGGTCTAAGACCAAATTTTTCCAGTTGTCTGAGGCCCAAAATTCACACCCAAGAGTAATAAGGAATCTAGGCAATTTACCGTGTGATACTCTAGGGCAAGACATCTGCTTGCCTACTAGGGCAAAGTCCACATTCATGGAGGAAGGAGCATGTTCACAGCCTTTATAAGCCCCTGACCCCTAGATGTAGGGATTCCAAGGCTGGCCATGTGCTGACCCCTTTCCTTCCATCCTGCTTCTGCCCACTATCCAGAACAGCACAGTATTTGTGCTGTACTGTTCAATGCCTGCTGCTATTTGTTATGTCAACATGTCTGCTGATAATGCTGGCACCTAATGAGTGCTAGGTCTTATGTTAGGTCCACCCTTTTGCAACTTTGGGGATGAAGCCTGGCATGGAGGGGTGACTATGGGTGTTTATTTTTATCTTCCGTAAATTTTAGTTGAAACATTTCGTATCTTCCCACCAGGGCCTCAAAGGAAAAGCAGGGCAGAAATGAAGCAGTGGGAGCTCACTAAGGGCCAGGTACTAATACAGTTTTTCTATGGAATCCTCCAATTAAAGTAGGAATCATCCTAACACCGAGGAACTCAAGAGGAAGGAATTACTACCAGTCCACAACTACTAGGGATAATTAAACATTCTTAATGAAAATGTCAAAGGGAAAGAAAAATGCAGCCCTAGCAGCATGAGGTTTGGGTGCTAGCACTGACAGCAAAGCAAGGGCTTTAGTCACTAGGCCCATGCAGCCCAAGGATGACTCCTGTTAATTGCCCCTTCACTAAATCACAGGTGGACCAAGACCTGTCTCAGGCTCCTAACAGCATCTTTCTCCCAGGGAAATAGGTTGAAGGGCCTTATTCAAGGATATTTTTGGTTTGCTAACCTACTTTTACTTGGTTGGGAAAGGATAGGACTTGGGCTATGACTGCCTGGATAATGTTCTAAAGAGGCATCCTTGTCTGACAGCATGTCAAGGGGAAAAAACTGGTTCACATGCCAAGGTCTAGAACAGGTAAGAATTTGCTCCACCTAATGGGCGCTCTTAATAGTCTCAAGTTTAGTCTCTGATTTCCAAGGGAATCTGTATACATGATGTAGTCTTGTTACTCCAGCTGGAACTCTCATCTATGAGCAAGGCTTCAGGCCCACCTCCATCTCAGGTAGGAGCACATGCGAAAAACTCTGCCTCTACTGCTGGCAGTGTGAAAAAGCCTTCCAAACCAAAATGAGAAAGGCAGTGAAATATTGCTGTGCCTTGCCCCAGGAGTCTTAACTTTAAGAGACAGAGTAAACTTTGGGAAAGAAACAACTTGCTTGGCTTGCTTTTCATTTAAATAGGTTCTCTGGCTATTTATTGATTTTAATGAAAAACAAGCCAGGTAAGTTTCTGTTTCTTAGGGAGTGTGTGTGTATACTATCCATGAGGGCAGGTTTTTCTTTTGTTTTTTTCAGCATGTATATGTTTATTGAAGGAAGCTTTTTCCATATGATCACAAACCTTTTAAGTACTAAAATTCTTGCCTCTTAAGGATTGTTTATTCTTATTACTACAGAACTGACAGGTGTCCCTAACCTAGTCAAGAATGAGAGACAGGGCTATATGACAAGATGACTTTCAGTCTCCTTCCAGACATAAGGGTACCCAAGCAGAGACTTAAAAGCTGGACAGTTGGGAAGCACAGTAATATATCTCATGTCAGATACCACAATGTGTATTTTCACACTCATTTACTACAGATACCAGAGCAACAGAGGATGGGCAGTGACAGTTAATGTGATTCCACCCAGTGCCCATAGAATAGGTAAGCCACAGATCCAAGTGGATCCTGGAAAAGCTTAGCAGGAATCCTTGCCTGTGCACAGGAAGAAGGGGATTGATCAGGTGGGCCCGACTCCGAGGAATGTTTCACAAAGCAATTTTCTGGATAACGTGAAAGGGCATCACTATTAACTGAGCACCCTAAACTGTACAGTTGGTATAAATGACCCAAACACACGTCTGAATTGCAGTCCACTTATGCATAAACTGTTACCAATAAACAAGGACCTGCAGTACTCCATGATCTGCAGTTGATTGAATCCATGGGTTGTTCCTCTGTCAATTGTAGTTGCTTCTCAAAAGGTCTTGAAACTTATGTCTTTAACAGATGAGAACCTCTCCTAGTCATTACTTGAATACTTTACCATGTCCCTTTGTAAAATCTCACTTGATCCTCTCCATTTTGTGGGCAAGACTCTATATATGAGACCAGTAGCTTGCAGCTTGTATCTTACCTGTGAGCACCTGTTTCAAATCTAAAAGTGGGCCATTTTACTTATACTACAAGGAGTGCTGCAATGCAGAATTTTAGATTTCTATGCCACTTTCTATTCCAAGTAAAACAAAGGATAAAAGTCTAAAATATTGATTAATTTTATAGGGGATAAAGCCAGAGGTAAAGGTAAGATGAAAAACAGGCAGCTTATCCTGGGGAGAGTAATGGGATCTTGAAACAGAAAAAGGATATCAAGTGAAAAAGAAGTCTCAGTGAAGCATGGACATTAGTTAAGCGTGTATCAATATTGGCTTGTTAATGATAACAAATGTATCATACAAATGTAAGATGCTAATAATAGAAACTGCAGAGCATACAGGAACTCTATAAACTATTTTTACAAGACTTCCTGTAAATTGTTCTAAAATAAAGTGTTTTTTTTTAAAGGCAGTTTAAGCTGAGGAAATAATGAGACAAAATCCACTAGAAAATGACATCAGAAAATTTGATTAACTGGCGAAGTCTCCAAAAATGAGCTGAATTTGCAATGGATGTGCTCCTGATAGGATACTATTATTGACAATTTTATTGGGGAATTATATCTTGTAGAGGCCGGGGCTAACTGGCTCTTAATCTTAATCCTTGTCACAGGTCTTTGTGGTAGCTATTTCTATGATGCTTATTTTCCAGGAAAGGCCACAGGAGAGAAGTGACTTGTCAGAGGTCCCAGGGTCTTCACTTGGCCCACCCTAGTGGTCACTACAGATCAGAGCTGGAAGCTGCACAGAGATGTGGTGTGCTATTTGGCCTCAGCCTCAAATCATGGGTGAGAGTCGTCCCCCTTCTCTGCTTCCAGGCACCAGGCTCCCAGTCACTCTCCTCTTTAACACTTCAGTGTCCTGAGTTCACCAGCAGATTACGCTCAGGCAGGCCCCTATCATATCTTGCCACTATCCCCAGTACCAAGCACAGTGATAAGGGAATCCTGCCATGACTGACTGTTACACTGCTGTCCCTACGTCAAGTCCTCAGTATTTATGCCTAGAGATAAGCATGTAAGAGTGGGTACTAAATAAGAAAGAGGAACGGGGCGGGGGGTAAGAAGCATAAATCAACTGAAAGAGGGAAATTAATGAGAACTTCAGAGCAAAGCAGCACTGCACTAAATAAGTATTTCTTGAGGGACTGTACAAGGCAATTTTTAAGTCTAGAAAACCAAACCTCAGGCTCCCTCCAGGAAGAAAGAATATGGGCTTTTTACTCACCAGCCTGGAAGGCCTTACAGAGACCAAGCTGTGGAATCTTGTTTCAATGAGTTTTTTTTTTTTTTTTTTAAATAAATAAGGCTGCCTCTATGAGCTGGTAGATAACCTGAAGCCCTATGATTTTGATTTTCACTCATCTCTAAAAAAGGTGAAATGTGTGTGGAAACGGTATATGGATGGTATAAACTTCAGCTAGAAATAAGGGATATGATTTGCCTCAGTCAGCAGAGAAAAAAAGACTATAAGCAAAATCACACTTAAAGGTACACTGTTGAAAAATCCAAAGTGTATAATTCATTACCTGCCATTATTACATCAACATAAAAAAAAATAGGCATTTTAAACATTTTGACCAACAAAAATAAGAGGGCATGATTTATAAATACATAAATACCCATGCATACTTTTACAATGATAGCTACTAGAAAAATGAGAACTTTAAAAATGCCAATCCAGACAAGATTCCCTTTCATTCCAATTGCCTCTTTCCTACATGTTGTTAATACCAAGAGTCTTAAGAGGCCGCTAAGGTCAATGTTGCTTTCATGCCAGCCTCCTTTCCAAGCCTGTAACTAATGATGAAAGTGTGATGAATCTTCTGCCTTAGCTTTGATGCTAGGGAAAAAAAGAAAAAGTTAGTAGCCATGTAGTCTAATGAATCAAATTCATAAGTAAAAATACAGCAGTGATACAAATTTTATGTTCTACCCAGATGGTATGTAGGTAGACTCAGAAATTATTAAGATTTTACTATATACAGAAGATAGAGCAAAAAACTGACCATACCATCCATTTGGAAGCCAGATTTTTTGTTTTGTCACCTGTGATCTGTTAATGTTCACAATTTACAGTGATAACAGAAATACTTAAAAAATAACTTTTTCCATGGCATGCTCTGCAATGAAGGCTTAAAAACAGAATCACACAAACCCTTTATTGTTCTAAATTGAAATCAGTTGAATCCAGGTAGTAATTCACAACATTTCACATTGACTCAGGATATTTAGAAGATGGAAAGGTTATGTGTTTCTGAATTTCACACTATTAGAAACTGTAAACGCATGTCTTCAAATAGTGGTGAACTGAAGCAGATACATTCTTTCTGGGTACTTTCTAGCACCTTTGGTAAATTTAAACTTGGCTTTAGACAACTTTTAAGCAGGGTGTAAAGAAATCATTTTGGCTGTCACCTATCTGAATGGATTTCCTTAACATTCAGCAGTGCAAGTGAGTCAATCACAAGAGTCTTTTTAGTAATCAGTTTTCAAGGTATTTCCTGGCATAACCCTGTCATATCAGTCTTTGAGAAGTGAAGAAGCAAAATTCCTCAGCAAGAGCAAAATATAAGAGGTCTTTCTCCTTTGAGGAGAATGCAGTTATCACCTAAAGAAACCATGTTTATTCCAAAGGGAAAGAGAATCCCATAAGCCCTCTCCTCTTCAATTTCCAATGGGACAGACCAAGACTACAGCAGCAGCAGAGCTGCCCCTGGCTTTGGCTGTTTCAAATCTGGTCTTTGACACTAGTGTTGGTAGGTGATTCACTCATGCTGGGCACCAGGCAACAGACTGGCCCGTAGGGTCAGACACAGCTCTTCTGGCTGGTTCTATTTCTGTGGATAAAGGGAAAAAGAAAGGTAGCCCCACAGAGCATTTATCTTAGGATCCAGGACAAAACCTGATTTAACTACTCTGGCAGGCTGAAAAAAAATTTTTTTAATACTCACAAATACTTCCCATCTTACTAGAATCACATCTCCCATCAGTGGAGTGGCTACTCCATTACTTTAGAGCTTGCTAAGACTGGATATAATGTACAAGACTGGATATAATGTACAAGAGAAATTCTTAGAAAGGCAAGCACACTTTTCTAACTTCTCTTACACATTTCATATTTAGTCACTTTCCATACCGCCATTTTCCCTCTTGGATAAAAATGTTCTCAGGAAAAATGGAGTTATTAAGTGGATAGATTCTTTCTTTGGCCAATAAGGATAACTTCCTAGTCAATCACTGCTTTTTCTCCTTAAGACAATGCCTTGGAAATAATATTAAACAGTCTCAGTAACAACACCATTCCTGAGTGAGCTGCTGCACTTGATAAATTATTGCTCATTAATGGGTGAAGTGGTCGATCACAAAGTTCTGCTGGTAGGTACCTTGGGAGGGCCATTAGATAATTCAGATTGTTCAATATATTTGTGTGTGAATCCCCTTTTTTTCAAAGAAAAATCATACACTGCAACTGTCTTGAAAAATACCACCTGTCAGAGTCCCATGCTCATTTCTTTTATCAGATTTGCCCACACTGCCCTCTCCTTAAAAAAAAAAAGCTGGACAGACCTCAGGTTTACTGGCCTTAAAAGTGCCAAATAGCCATAAAGTATTTCTTTTAATCTTTAAAGAACTTACATCTCTAAGTAATCTTCACTATCCAGTCTCTGGATACCAATGATGCCAGGCGATTCATTTCCACTTGGTAGCTAGCTTCAAAACCCAACTAAAACTCTTAGAGCTAAGAATCAAGTCTGGGCAGAACCGTAACTGACCTTTGCAAGTGCATGGCTCAACATCAAGGTTCTTCGTTTGGTTTTTTTGTCTCTGGGCTGGCAATGGTGCTTAATGTTTGCCAACCTCTATTACATGCAAAAACCTCAGACAAGACACACAAATTGCTGCAAAGCCCCCAGGGCGCTCTTTCCAGTGGGCACTCAGGGTGGCTTTCAGAAGAGACGGGACAGCCCTCAACACACCACAATTCTGTCATGGGACAGGTGAGATGACTCATTCGCTGGACAGGCTTATCTAAAAGACTCTTTACCAACTGGCAAAACACTACACATGCTCCAAGTATCTCACTTTTCAGAATCTACTTAGCTTCACTTTCAGTGACACTGACAGTCTAAAATTTAACTTGGTTACTAAAAAAGCCTAGGTTTTATTTGAAGGAAGTTCAAACATGCATAATCCAAAAGTGCTATAGAAATGCAGCTCCCCTGAAGGCTTCTTCCAGGTAACTAGGTGCCAGTGATGAGTCTGATGGCAGAGCTGGCTTCAGGGATGCCAAAGTTCATCTCTGAGGACTCTACTCTGGAGGCTGATACTGTGCACTGAGTGTCAAAAATGAACCCAGGACAGGGGTTCCCTACATTTTTGAGGTTCCAGACCCCTTTACAAAATGTGTAACAGTTTAGAAATTCTTCCCCTCACCACACACACATACTTCTTCACTCTGGTCTATGGATAATGTTAGGGACATCCTTGTTAATTACAGAAACTCCTTAGTCTCATCTGGAGTCTGAAACCCAAAAATCATGAAGTGTTATGACCTCCAGTATCCCAGCATGACTGTAGAGAGAAATATATTTACCAGAAAAAAAGATCTTGGAGAGGGCAGATCACCTCTTAGGAGCAAAAAGTTAAGGAAAGAATTGCCATGAGCAGTCAGGAAATGAAGGCTCACCCTATTCCCTGCCTGCCCTAACCCATGGGGTGCAATCTGGGGTGGCCAGAAATTATCTAACTGTCCCATGCCTGGGCCCCAGGAACCTCACGACCTGGATACTAAGGGACTTACCCCAGGTTTTGTTGGTTTGTTTTTAATATTTTATAGGAGAATTCCAAAAGTCACAAGTTCCCAATTCACAATGGCTCCCTGGCTACAAACAGTAGCCCTGTTAACAGCTGATATGAAAAACAAAATAGCCCCTGAAACTTTTGATTCCAGATTCAGTTAAAAAACAATACTTTTAAAGGGAAACTATCTGAAATCAAGTGGGGTTTGCTGTTTGGGGCTGAAGTACTTTCGGGGCAGCTGAAGATTTGATTAGTTCACACTGAAGGGAAACTTTTTCTATGCCCTGCTTCCCAAAACAAGACCCAAGTGGGGTGAAGCAAACGTTTGCCTATGTTTCTGAGATGAGAACTAAAAGAGGCTAGCAGTCTTCACTCTTTTGGTCAATTTTGTAAGCATTTTCTGAGCACCCTCTCTAGTGTATGCCTATGTCAGGTTTCAGAGTTAAAAGGATTAATATCTTAAGCACCATCTCATCTCTCAAGAAGCTTACCATGTGCCCTTAAAAAGGTCTGGGTGAAGTGCTATGGGGGATGAGGAAACAATTCCTAAGGAGACCAGGGCAAATAAGAAGCCTATCTTGGGAGACAGTAGAAAGCAGTTGGTATCCTCTGAGCTTTCTTCTGCCACATTCTATGGCCCCTACCCCCACAGGCAAATAGGCTTGTTAGGCAACAGCTTACTATGGAAAAAATTCACAGCCTTAGATCAGACCAAGCCTGGCAGAATAGGAAACAGTTATGATGTGTGGATATCACACCATCCACATTTCCATCAACAAGTCAGAGGCCAAACAAGTCTGGTGGTGTCCTTAACCACTGGGGTAAGGATAAGTTAATGTTATCAATAAGATTTTTTAATAAGTAGGAAACTGTAGCACTCTAACCAACATTTTCTTAAAATTCAAGCAAAAAGTTCAAAACAGAATGTTCCTAAAGGAACTAAAGAGGTTGAATTTATATGTTACTCCACCCACAATGTGTAATTTACCTACTAAGTTATCTGGTTATGAAAAGGTTTATACCAGTTACAGAGGAATAAAATCAAAGGGCTTAGACTGGGGTAGTAAACAAGAACATTCAGAAAACAATACACTCTAATACATCACCATAAAGGCAGGGGCCATTAGCTCTATACCATTTCAAATGCACTTGGAAATCCCGTTTACCTTTTTCATTAATTTACTTCTGGTAGTAAACTGTGGCAGGTCTTCCACTTCAATCCCATCAGCCATTTCCATCACCTTGTCTAAAAGGTCTTTGTTGTAACTGCACAATAAAAAGTAGTAAGATAAAAACCCTGGAAGAATTATTGTCACTGTGGGCTAAAAAGAAATTGCAGGTAGCTGGACTATAAACTCAACTCTCAGAGGAACAATTTGATGCTACTGGGGAAACTGATAGATGTTCAACATCAAGTTAGAAAATAGTTCTTCCGCATATGGCTACAGAAGCAGCACTAGGAATGCCAACAGAGCAGGTGTTTTAAGATTTACAAAACAAACAAGACTTACAAAAATAGAGGCACTGTACATCTGGCAGTACATATTCATGGATATGGTATGAGGGCCAATTTTTTTTTGGAACCTGTGGAATACTGATCTAATGAAAATAACATTACTTGTTCATTTGTCCAATATTCTTACTTTTGCCTAATCTTGCATCTTGTTAACTAAAATTTACTAGGGGCACCTGGAAGTCAGAGAAACGGGAGGGATGCAGCAGGCACTGCTTCCCCAAATCCTGTTCCAGTAACTCCCCAAATCTGAAAGCAAAACCAAGTGGCTTAGGACTGGAGGACTGGAGGACACAGCCATAAGGAGCACAGAGACCAGAACTAAGTCAACTAAGGCATTTCATTATCCTAACAGAATTTCAGGAAATGCTAAATAAAAGGATGGAGCCTAAAGATTTGCCACCCGCTTCATGGAGTGGTAGAGTGCCATATCAAGCATTTCAAACACAGTTCCTTGAAGGCATTATTTTCATAAAAGGAAAGGCAGAGAGGCAAAGACTGCTCCTTGCTACTGGGTCCAGCAGACTAGGATGTGAGAGAAAAAGCCAAGGGCCACAAACTACATCCTGCCATATATGGTAAAATCCACCAATCCTGCCAGAAGCTGCATGGTCCTAGGTAAGTCTCTTTCCCTCTCTTCAGCTGCTTCTATAAACTGGGGATCTCAGTTTCTGTCCCTGCACGTTTGCCATGTGGAAGAAAGGAGCTAATGAACTTAAAAGTATGCACTCAGAAAGAGGATGGTTTAAAGTAGTTACAGTAATAATACAAAATATTTGTATTTTGTATTACAAAATAATACAAACTCGAACACCTAGCATGTATAGGGCTCTTCTTGCTAGATGACAGCCTGTGCTAAGTGCTTTTCATCCTTTAATACTGTAATCATCACAATTCATTTTCCAGATGAGAAAGTCGAAGCTCAGAGGTTAAGTATCTTTTCAAGAACTGGCTAAAGTAGGACTCTGCCTTAGGCCTGGCTAGTACAGTTGGAGACTGGGGACGGGGTCAGCCTTGGGCAGGGGTTAGCCCTGGGGTTAGGGCTTCGGGTTGGGACAGAGTCAGTTAGCCGGCAGCGGTCCGCACCTGCAACCCAGGAAGAGGTGGTTGGCCCAGACCATGGAGAGGGACAGCAGCTGGTCCAGGCGGCCGCCGCCGTCGGGTGGATCGCGATAGTCGGGCAGGTGGCGCAGGATGAATTCCATGCGGGCCTTCCATTGCTTCTCGCTCTCCGAGTAGGAGCGGAACTGCTCAGCGAAGTCAGTCGCTCGCCGCACACCCGAGATCAGCTCCTCCACGGCAGCGGCCGCCTCACCACCCACCATGGCGCCCTCCACCGCTAAAGGCTGGACCCGCCCACCGCCTTCCCGACGTGCACTGCGCCACCTCTCTGCGGCTAGAGGAGCACGGGCGGCGCGCGACTGCGCAGGAGGACTGGTCTGGAGCGCCCTCGGCGGGCGTGGCGGCCTCACCCAGCCCGAGCCGGCTCCTCAGAGCTGCAGCCGGCGCCTCTGGAGTGGCTCTACCTCAGGGCCTCAGGGGCAGTTCTCACTGGACCCGGGGGGAAACCAGTAGGGAAACGGAGGCCTTCCCAAGCACAGAGCAAGGACGGCTCTCTCCCATTCCGCAGCTGGATGTCAGTCAGGGCTCTTACTGTGTCCTTGACCTGGGAACTCCCCGAGCACCTGGCCGGCGGGACCGTTGCCCACAATTCGGAGGACTTACAGGTGGAGCTGCTCAGGGTCTACTTTTATCCATTCCCAGAGGCCTTGACACTCCACCCACCTTGTGGCCTGCTTTCCTGGAACCAGCCAGCGATCCAGCTGAATGCTTGCCAGACCCTTTGCTAGGTGCTGGGATGGTATGAGAGCAAACGAATGCGCTCCTCTAGTGAACTTTAGTCTGCTGGGCGAGATAGACATTATTAGTGAATACTTAATAATTGCTCAAGGGAAAGTTTTCAGCGTTGACAAACTTTAATAAAAGTGCCAGGAGTGCCAGGAGCATGAATAAGCAAGAGACCTGATGCAGACTTGGGGGTCAGGGAAATGATAGCGGAGATCTGAGGAATTTACAGGAGTTAACTACACGGAAAAGAAGTAGGGCACCGCAGGAGACCCTGAACTGGTGAGAGAACTGCAAGATATGTATGACAAATCCTAGAGTAGGGGAACAGTGGAGGAGATAAGGATACAAAGATCACCAAGGACAGTAGATCATGGAAAGAGTTGTGGTCTAGGCCCTAAAAGGAATGGGGAGCCACTGAAGGATTTTAACCAGGTATTTCCAAAAGATGTTGGCAGGAGCCATAATGGATGTGTCTGGAGGAAATGAACAGGTGAGTTAGCCTGACTCTGCTGTCAGTTCTAGGGTCAGGTAGACCCACTGACAAACGCGTTCATAAATGCTGAATTTCACATCTCATTCAGGTATAGGAACTGGGAAACCATTTGCACTTCCATCAGCCTGGGGAAGTTATTGAGCTAATAGGCTTCCCCATCTTCCCCCATCAAATGTGGGTTGGAGTACAGAACTGAGCCTAGAATCCAGGATCCAAGGCTTCAGTGTGGGTCCAGTATTGTGAGGCTTAGGAGCAAAGCAACCTATGAGTTGTCTCCTGCTTCTGCAGCTTGTGATGAGAATTCAGGGCCTCTAGCAGGCAGAAAACAGGTATAGAATGGAAATATCAGGCAGTCTCACAAGTAGACTGTGCCTGCAAAAACCAGCACCAGGCTCAGTGATGTCCATTGTGGTTAACAGTAGGGAGGCATGCTACTCTTACCCTGGTTATTGGGAAGAATGTGAACAGACCTGTGAAATCAGACAGACTCAGCTTCTTCACAACAGTCAGCAATAGGTGCCCAGAGCTGGGGTTCCTGAAATTAAGTGTAGATTACATCACTTGAGGAGCTTGTTAAAATAACAGATACCTTAAGAGTTGCCTGGTGGTCCAGTGGTTAGGATTTGGTGCTTTCACTGCCATGGCCCAGGTTCAGTCCCTGGTCAAGAAACTGAAAATTATGAAAGCTGTGAGACGTAGCCAAAAATAGCAGAGTCCCAGGCCCATAACTGGATTTTGCGTCATGGCTCCAGGAAATTGATTCCATCTGCAGCTGACCAAACTTTGAAAAACATTGATGAGGGTTCTTGGGACCAAATTCTTGGTCACCTGATTGTATGATGGAGAGGTTGACCCAGAAATAGGAACCTGGACTTTGTGACCAACAACTGCAGCTACATAGCTAACTCGTGTACAGGCTAAGAGGTCATCTGGCAACTAGCTCATTTAGAATCATCTTTAATAATGATGAGACATATGCATATATGTACCTACATATAGACATGTTCATACATGCATGCAGGTTGTAAGAACTCAAATGTACAGAAATAGGTATTCTTTTTTATACTATGATCTTGTTAACATTATACTTTCAAAATGTAAAGTAGCCTAAAAATGTTAGTTAATATTAACATTTTCAGGGCCCTGTGGCAAGTCCAGTCCCTGCCCAGGTTATTGTTCCTAACTCATTTCTGTGATTCAGATTTTCTTAAAGTGAAATACTTATATAGACAAGTACAGTTTTCCAAACTTATCTTCTTTTTAAAACATCGTTGTGTGTGTGTGAAAGTTGTTCAGTCGTGTCCAACTCTTTGCGACTCCATGGACCATAGCCTGTCAGTCTCCTCTGTTCATGGAATTCTCCAGGCAAGAATACTGGAGTGGGTACAATTGAGTATTTTAAATGGATGAATTTAGTGGTTTCAATATATTCACAGATTTGTGCAACCATCAACACAAATTAAATATAAAACATTTTCATCACCCCTAAAAGAGACTCCATACCCGTTAGCAATTGCTGTGCACTCCCTCAAGCCCCTGGCAACAACTAATCCACTTTTTATCTCTATAGTTTCCTATTCTGGGCATTTAACATTAGTGGAATCGTACAATGTGTGGTCTCTTGTGACTAGCTCTTCACTTACATAATGTTTTCAAGATTCATCCATGTTGTAGCATGTGTTAGTATTTCATTCCATTTTTATGGCTGAGTAACTTTCCATCATATGGATACACTTCATTTTGTTTATCCTTTCATCAGTTGCTAGACATTTGGATTGTTTCTACACCTTGACTAGTATAAATAATGCTACTGTGAACATTCATGTACCACACTTACAAGCTAAAAGTTTCCCTTGTCGTAGTTTCAGTGGATGCTGGCAAAATATTTAAGACTCCTAAGACAGAGACAAAGAATTCTGTGAATCACAGTACAGCAAACAGCATAAGCTTCATGTTTGCATTGGCTCCTCTTGTCCCTTAAGTCCCACGAGGGTTATGACAAAAGGTCAGCAGTGGATAAGGTACAAAGAGGTACAGGCAATGGATTTGTATGACTGCTGAGGAACCCCAAGTTTAGGGAACATCAATCTTTATAAGGGCTTCCCAGGTGGCGCTATCGGTAAAGAATCTGCCAGCCATGCAGGAGATAAAAGAGACGAAGGCTCTATCCCTGGGTTGGGAAGATCCCTTGGAGGACGTGGCAACCTGTTCAAGTATTCTTGCCTGGAGAATCCCATGGACAGAGGAGCCCAGTGGGCTACAGTGCGTGGGGTCGCAAAGACTCAGACATGACTGAATGCACACACACAATCTTTCATAAAAGACTGCAAGCAAACCTGCTCAACATTTGCCCTAGAGAAGTACATTATCTTTTTTATCTGGACAGTAAACAAGCTGACCCTTTATTTTGAAGATAGACACTATCCCTAGACTGCTTCATGGACAAATATCCTTGAAAAGACAATCTGGAACTAAAGGGCAATTAGTGTCTAACTCTAATGGGAATGACTAGAATGGGAAAGACTAGAGATCGCTTCAAGAAAATTAGAGATACCAAGGGAACATTTCATGCAAAGATGGGTTCAATAGAGGACAGAAATGGTATGGACCTAACAGAAGCAGAAGATATTAAGGAGAGGTGGCAAGAATACACAGAAGAACTGTACAAAAAAGATCTTCATGACCCAGATAATCACAATGGTGTGATCACTCACTTAGAGCCAGACATCCTGGAATGTGAAGTCAGGTGGGCCTTAGAAAGCATCACTACGAACAAAGCTAGTGGATGTGATGGAATTTCAGTTGAGCTATTTCACATCCTGAAAGATGATGCTGTGAAAGTGCTGCACTCAGTATGTCAGCAAATTTGGAAAACTCAGCAGTGGCCACAGGATTTGAAAAGGTCCGTTTTCATTCCAATCCCTAAGAAAGGCAATCCCAAAGAATGCTCAAACTACCGCACAATTGCACTCATCTCACACGCTAGTAAAGTAATGCTCAAAATTCTCTAAGCCAGGCTTCAGCAATACGTGAACCGTGAACTTCCAGATGTTCAAGCTGGTTTTAGAAAAGGCAGAGGAACCAGAGATCAAATTGCCAATATCCGCTGGATCATCGAAAAAGCAAGAGAGTTCCAGAAAAATATCTATTTCTGCTTTATTGACTACACCAAAGCCTTCGACTGTGTGGATCACAATAAACTGTGGAAAATTCTGAAAGAGATGGGAATACCAGACCACCTGACCTGCCTCTTGAGAAACCTGTGTGCAGGTCAAGAAGCAACAGTTAGAACTGGACATGGAACAACAGACTGGTTCCAAATAGGAAAAGGAGTACATCAAGGCTGTATATTGTCACCCTGCTTATTTAACTTAAATGCAGAGTACATCGTGAGAAATGCTGGGCTGGAAGAAGCACAAGCTGGAATCAAGATTGCCAGGAGAAATATCAATAACCTCAGATAGGCAGATGACACCACCCTTATGGCAGAAAGTGAAGAGGAACTAAAAAGTCTCTTGATGAAAGTGAAAGAGGAGAGTGAAAAAGTTGGCTTAAATTTCAACATTCAGAAAACTAAGATCATGGCATCTAGTTCCATCACTTCATGGCAAATAGATGGGGAGACAGTGGAAACAGTGTCAGACTTTATTTTGGGGGGCTCCAAAATCACTGCAGATGGTGATTGCAGCCCTGAAATTAAAAGACGCTTACTCCTTGGAAGGAAAGTTATGACCAACCTAGATAGCATAGTAAAAAGCAGAGACATTACTTTGCCAACCAAGGTCCGTCTAGTCAAGGCTATGGTTTTTCCAGTGGTCATGTATGGATGTGAGAGTTGGACTGTGAAGAAAGCTGAGCGCCGAAAAATTGATGCTTTTGAACTATGGTGTTGGAGAAGACTCTTGAGAGTCCCTTGGACTGCAAGGAGATCCACCCAGTCCATCCTAAAGGAGATCAGTCTTGGGTGTTCATTGGAAGGACTGA